AAAGAAGCGGTTTCTAGTCCTTGAAAGCACTGGACCCACGAAACCCACGGGGCAGTTCTACCCTCTTAGAGGGTTTTAAGGCTGCTGCTGAATCGTAATTGACTCGGTGGCGGTGTTTTTATGTCCGTACGTGGAAGCTTTTGAACTATGTTGAAGAGTACTGAAGTCCCGTGCACTGCCAGACCAACACATCTCTGTTGAAAGCAGCAGCACCAAAATGCTCCTGAAGAGGATGGCGAGACTTCATCTCATGGACTTAGGACATGTGTCAGAAAGACACATGCATGGCAGGAAGGCCCTCAGTGAGATGGACTGATCTGGTAGCTGCAATAATGGGCTGGAACAAAACAAGGATGGTTCTATTCAAATGAATGCCTCTTGGTCTGTGTACAGGCTCCATGTGTGCACAATTTAGGTGTTCTGGAATTCCTGTTCCTTGTAATGCTATCCATAGTTTACGACTCAAGACTGTTAAAATACCTTGGTCAAGACCAAGCATTGTTTTGGTCACTGTGTGTTGGAGTCCACCGATAGCACCCAACACAATCCAGTGCCGGCTCCTAGGCTCGTGGTGGTCTGGCTTCATTGCCTTTATGAGTTCATCTCATAGCTCACATTTTATGCGCCAGTACTACTCAGCCATTTAGAGTCCCAACGTAAACTGTAGCCTTGCCTGTCTTTGTTCCTTCTGCCCTACCTACCCAGCACTGTTCTCCCTTTATGGGAAACTCCTTTTTCTCTAGAATCTAGGCATTTGTTCAAGGACATTATCTCGTTGCTGTGCCCTTCTATGCTCTCGTAGCACTGTGAGTGTGCTAGTAGCACTGCACGCGCCACACTTTATGAAACCCCTAGTCCGGAAGTGTACCTTTCTTACCAAGTTTGACAACCGCGATGGCATCTTCGTACAGATACAGGTGATCCGATCTGCAGATTCCAAATCTGCAAATGTAGCTGCCTGCTAAAAAGTAGTGCTTTCATGTTCACAGACTTGGTGAGAAATTCACAGCCTAAGTCCAACAAGGGAAATTTCTATATTCTCCGATTCAGTATGCAAAAGACTTTCTACGGGTGTAACCACAAAGAATCAAAAGTAATTACACTTGAAATGTATTATGATGAAACTGCTACAACAGAAATGGATGAATAACAACATACTCATTCTTCTGACATGCCCTCAGATAAAGAAACAAACAATATTTTTTTTTCTTTCTGTTTCTCTCAGTTCTTGTCTACAGGTTGGAATGGTTAAGTTTGAATCCTAGCTGAGGGATGGGGTCGGTTTTATTGTTTTTAAGCTACTCTTCTAACTGGGGCCTGTATCCATCACAATACAAATGTGCGCAATATAATGACCTGAAATTCAAAGAGATAAAAAACAAAAGTTTAATAGTTAAAACAGTGATTGAGACACAAGCAACATTACATCACCAGAGCAGGTAGTCTTTCTTACCTTCCTTGGGTCTAATGGACTTTGTTGTGAATTCACCGAAGCTACAGACCTGCTCATCAGAAAACCGCACATGCAAACAAGAGTACTTACCTCACTTTTAAGAGATTCACAAATACTCTAAAGCCTTAAACACTGGATTAAGAACCTCAACTGCAGAAATTTAATTCAGTAACGGGCCTGAGAAGCCCAGGCAGCCACCACAATTCATGCTGGTGGTCTAGACACAATCCCACGACTCCCAAGTTTTTCATTCAATTCCAGGGGCGGCATTCAAAGAAATTCCTTCCGTACGTGGACCAAGAAGAATACTCACATGCCACATTTTAGTTTCTATGTAAGTATGAAAATAGAAAATCATTTATGTACTAAATACCAACACATTGTTTCTAGTAATGTTACTGTTTTACTTTGAAATACTTTTTTTTTTTTTGAGCAATTACAACAAATAATGTCGGAAAAGGCTGTGAAGGAAAGTCTGTTTCCTTGAAGAAGTTGCTTTATTGACTTCAGGGGCTAATTTATAAAAGTTAACATGTTAACCTACTCAAAATTATGTTCACATTATTTAAAAATGACGATGTGTGTGTGTGTATAGTAAATAATGCACACATGCTACACACTAATAACATTCAAGATAAAAAATGTGCTGCTTGAAAAGCGTAATTACAAATAGTTTAAAACAGCAACACATGTTTACAGCACCCTCTTTTGTCATTCCCACTTTATTCCAAAATTTCATTTACTTCATTATTTATAGTTTAAAAAACACTTTAAATGGTTTTTACAGATACCTGACATAAAATGTCTCCCCTCTCCTTTTTAAAAAACC